AAGGTTAAGCGAATTTCAAGATTGTGTCGAATTCGAGGAGAAATTTATAATTATTACATCTGCACATCATTCAATGCTCTTGAACCAATGGGCGAAGATAGGCGAGTTGATGAAGGAACTGTGATGGTATTCTCAAAACATTTCGAATCACAAGAATTGAGTGAGCAATTTGGAATATTCTTACAATTAGCAATCAAACACTATCGGAAAATGCAATTTGCAAATAGTCAGTATTACACACTTCGTATTTGACCATTTCATTACTGAATGGTCACGAAGTTCATTCATTATATTCAAGTGAAAAAATAAATTTTGCTTACAATTAGATAGCGAATGAATGCAAAACAATTCAACGAATATCGCTGTTTCAAATAATTGTTGAAACACGATGAGAATTCGAATCATTCTTAATTAGTGCTTGTTAAGAGGTGGTTATTTTGGTGATTCGGTGCCGGTTACGATGTCTTCGGATGCGAAGAAGATGGAGCAACCAACCGATAAGCGTTCGTCTACATCGCCGAAAAAGCGAAAGAAGAAGAAGTCACACAAGGTGAGATCGGAAGAAGTCAACGCAACAGTTTGGTCACAAGTTACCATAAACTTTGACTTGAGTTTAGAATAATACTCTACTGCAATGTCTAATGCCTTCAAAAGGAATGGTTCTATCAAAAGTTAAAGTAAACCTAGGCGTTCTGATCGCTCTCAACGATCAAATCGCTCACCTTCAAACTAGAAATTCTTTGAATAATGTTTTAAAAAATTTGATGGATGCCATTCGTAACAGTTTCCTAGATTCAGCGAAATGATACTTTCTTGATGATTTCAGAAGAAAAAGAGATTGACAGAAGATGGCGAATCGCTAGCCGCATGTTCGGATCGAGAATGGGACGTTGCCGATCCAGCTTATGGCTCTGAATTGATCAATCTGAAGAAGAAACCGGTACTTTGCTTGAAACTCTTCATGCTGATTCATTTGTGAGATTTTCAAACAAAAAATCAACAGAAAGCACTGCATAATTTTTCGGCACTGATCAATATCTGAAACGACATTTCGAGAGATCGACCGACTTCTAGCTTTACTCCTCCAGAATGAGCATAATACCATAAGTTCACTTCATACAGTTTCAGCTGAAAGGATTGTGATTTTTTTGTGGTAACACTATCATGC